ATGGATACGTAAATAAGCAAAACTGTCAGATTTGGGGTGCTGAAAATCCTTGTGTGATACTCAAACACCCAACGTATCCACCGCGAGTAACTGTTTGGTGTGCATTTTGGGCTGGCCGAATGATTGGGCCGTATTTCTAGAAAATGCGGCTGGAAATGCGCTAACTGTTAATGGTGCGCAATATCGCAAAATGTTAACGGAGTTTTTGTGGCCTGAATTGGATATCATTGATGTGAAGGACATGTTTTTCCAACAAGACGGTGCGACCTGCCACACAGCACGTGAAACGATGGTGTTACTGCAGACCAAGTTTCCAGGCCGTGTTATTTCTTGATTTGTCGATCAACATTGACCACCAAGATCGTGCGATCTAACACCGATGGACCGATTGTAAAGGAAAAGGTGTATGCGAATAAGCCAGAAACAGTTGAACATCTTAAAGAGGAAATATGGCACGTTATTGGTGAAATACAGCCACATTTATGCGAAAACGTTATTCAAAATTTTAACAAAGAATAACCCTGTGTCAGAGGTTTCGTGGTGGCCATTTGCCGATGTTGTATTTCACGTTTAATCGGAACTATTTTTCTTTATGTTGAAATAAAAATGTAGCTTAATTCAAAAAATAAAAACACCTCTATATGGTGTGTTGGTTGCTTGATATACCTATATTATATATCAAGTCCTAACATGTGCGAAAAATTATGATTCGAGACAGTATAGGTCGGCGTACCGTAATACAGGATGATTCTCAACCTATACGCATAAACTTAGGGATTCATTCCGCATGACAAATAATGACTACCGTATTCGTTCGAATCTAAGGCACTATTTTTGTTATATGATCGTTCATGGAAATGGGGTGCGTCTTACAATCGGGCACGTCTTAGATTCGAACGAATTTCGAATATATATGATGACAAACACAGAATAAAACAAAACCACAAAAGTAATTAAATCAAACAAACACAAATAATTTACAACAATTATTTTTGTTGTTTATCATAACAAAAATATGAATTTTATATCTTATCGCGTTAACTTACTGTTCGAATTATATTGGTATTACTTTCACCTACTTGGGTGAATCCCCAGCATAGTTTGCCATATAGGTTTTGTTACCTAAACAGTGTAAGTGTCACCTTCTAAATTCGATAGAAGTTTTATTAATTTTACTACCTATTATGGCCACAAAAAGGGTTCATTACGACGCTGCATTAAAGCAACAAGTTATTGTATTTGCGGAAAGTAACGGTAATAGAGCAGCTAGCCGCCAATTCAACATAAACGAATCAATATTCGGCGTTGGAGAAAACATCGCTCAGCAACATTCTTATGTTATATAAAGCAACGACCCCGGTTCTAAACAAGGAAAATTTCCGCATGCATTTATGCATACAGAACTGCGTAATTCTTACGCGCACTTAGGCCCCAGTGGGCCCCTTGTGCATACTCCCTTGGAGACTCGAGATGGTATGAGAAGATCTCGTTAGGTGACGATACCGCTTACTCGTAGCCAATAACGAGTTACCGCCGGACAGTGGGGCCAAAATTGAAGTTTCAATTCAGTTTTATCAAAATAGGTAAAAAGCGGCAAATTTTGTAGTCCAAAAAAAGGGGAATACGGGGAAAACGTTTCAGGGACAGTACCTATAATACTTGCGCCATAAAATCACTTTAAACTCGATCTTTCGATTCGTCAGTTCGGTGTTTGATATTTAGTGCTTCTCTGTTTTGTTTATAAATTGTGCAATAATAATATAAATTAATTAATAATATAAATTACCTATTTTTTTAAGGTTATTTTTCATATGAAATGGTTTTTGTTGTAGTGTTCCCCTATGTACCGCGAACATTTTTTTTAATCTGTTCAGTTACTTATCTTCTATAACTTCAACTGAAAATTTCCCGCGGATAACCGCAATTTCACTTTTTATGTTTTTTTTATAAACAGCTATATTTTTGTGTTATAATAAATTTGAACGGTTAGATGTTTTGGCCAAACTAGACATAACAGATATTTAAAAATTTGCAAAATTTGATTGTCTCGGATGTTGTTAATATGTTTAACTTTCATACCACTATGTAGATTTTTGCCGTCAAAGTTAATATGATATTAATTAATGTATTATTCGATTAATATAATCTAAACTCTATGAACTCTTTTTAATAGATTAATTATATTCGATTTTAGGTTCATCTGGGATGAAAGTAACCCGTAGACATCTTTACGAGATCATGCGAAATTGTCCAGAAAAAACTTTGTCAGAAAAATTAGTTTTCATGGAAAACTATTTAGTTACCGATACGAATTTTAATGAAGAGGAGAAGGCAAATGTTTCTCAACAAATAAGAATTTTAAAATCCAAATTTAGGACTAAATGGCAAGGTGCTTATAAAAAACATGAAGTATTTTTAAAGCAAAATGCCGATGGTACAATCAGCATTCCCTACGAAAGACGAACTTCTGTTGTTGGTCGACCAACTAAAAGCTTTGAGGAATCCGGCGAACGAACCAAGAGAAGAAAAACAAGAGAATTGCGAAGTTCATCGGTAGTTGAACTAACATATGCAGCAAATGAAATTACGTGAATCTGGAAACGTGTCTGCTTCCCGAGTAGTAAAAGACGTAGCAGTTTCCCCAAGGCGAGGACAAAAATATGAAACGGCAAAAAATGAATAATTTTCCGCTTCCAGTACTGCCGCGGCCGCTAGACAAATGTCACCGCAAGACGCTTTAGCGATGTTTGTAGAAGCCGATTTGTCTAGAAGACAATATGAAATTATTAGGACTAGCGACAAGAAATTATACCCATGTTACAGTGTTTTGCAACGAGCAAAAAAAGAGTGCTATCCATCTAAGGATGCCATAACAGTCAGCGAAACTAGTGTTGAAATAAAATTACAAAACTTATTAGATCACACTTCTTCGCGATTATGCGGATACTTAAAATTTTATTAATGTTGAACGATGACGAAATAAAAAACTTCTCTTCAGCTCGTTTTTGTAGACCGATAAGGATACTATTTCTACACGAAACTGTGGACGTCACAAATGAAGAAGTAGACTATGTTAACAACCAAATTAAGAATCTAAGCCCGACTAACATTGCAATCCAGGGAGACATAGTTAAATATACTTTAATTTTTTCAATGGTCGATGGTAAAGTGTGTAACTCCGTCACACATACTTCATCTACCATGAGGTGTTATATTTGTGGTGCTACCACAAAAGATTTCAATAAAATTACGCAGAAAACCCCTGTAAAGAAAGAAACCTTAGAGTTCAGATTATCTATTCTCCATGCAAGAATTCGTCTGTTTGAACATATTTTACATGTGTCATATAAAATTCCCATACTAAAGTGGCAAACGAGACGGTCTAAAGAAGAAGCCGATATTGTAGCCGATAGAAAAAATGAAATAAAGAATTTATTTAAAACCGAAATGGGATTACTGGTGGACGTTCCTAAGCCTGGTTTTGGTAATACCAATGATGGGAACACAAGCAGAAGATTTTTTGACAATCCTAAACTTGCTGCTAAAATTACTGGAGTTAATGAAAACTTAATATTTCGCTTCAAGGTAATTTTAGAAACCATATCCTGTGGAAAAAAGATTAACATTGAAAAGTTTGGCACTTACACCTTGGAAACTGCCGAAACATATATTAATTTATATCCATGGTATCCGATGTCCCCAACCGTTCATAAAATTTTGCTGCATGGACCTGACATTATTCAAAATGCTTTGTTGCCCACAGGACAATTATCAGAAGAGGCAGCGGAATGCAGAAACAAATATTTTCGCAATTATAGGGAGACATTTGCGGGGAAATGTTCAAGAGAAAAATGTAACGAAGACCTTTTAAATAAATTACTTTTGACGTCAGATCCGCTGCTCTCTTCGATAAGACCAAAGGGAAAAAGACTTTCCAAACCTCTGCAAAAAGGAACAATTGAAATGTTGCTTCCTGAAGAATCAATTGACGAAGAAGAAGATGAAGATGAAACCAAAAAAGAAGATGAAGAAGAAGACGAATGAAATTTTTTTTTTCGAGTGTATCTATTTTTTTAAGCAAGTATGCAATATTATTGTTTGTGCGAATTATCATTTCTACCCTAAGATAAAATTTAAAATCATTGGTTATTTTACCAAGTATTTCTGTTTAGAATTGCTAAAGTGGTTCCTATGCTTAAATACATATTTCCGGGAAATCTCGTTTAAATAGGTATTTTAGTTACTGTGTGTGTTTTTCGTTTATACCTGCAATGGAATTTAAAAAAGTTAAGATGTAAAAAAATAATAATAACGTATTTTATCGAATTTCTTTACAAATATGCTTGGGATTTCCTATCCCTGCATTTTGGAAAATAATGAAAGACAAATTTATTTTAAGCAGGTATTCAAGTTATTGTTTACATGTATTCTTATTCTACCTTCAGGTAAAATTTAATGCAAGCGTTGTTATAAACAAAAAATAATGAGTACATTTGCCTGTTTTCTTATTATTTTCAATTATTTTCATATTACTTGCCTCAAATAGTTATTTTTGATACAACATAGCGAAATGACACTTTTGCATTCGAGAACGAAAGTCGCTAAAGCTCGCAAAAAAAATCGTTCAAAAATGCAAAAGAATTTCGCTGTCGTGTATCAAACAACATTTTTTCGAAAACTGCGTATTCTAAAGTTTTAAATTAATAAAAAGACCAAATTCCGTATAATGACATTTAGAATTCATTTAATGTTATGTCAAAAACTTAACGTCACATCGATTTAACCTCACATATTGAACAAATGAGGCGTGTAGTAGCAAAACTCGCCTTATCCATTTTTTACAAAATTTTAGTTAGATATTGGAATACATTATTTTTATAAATTTCAACACATTCAATCATAATTTTTTTAAAAAACATGCTATATACCCTTTTAAAATCATTTTAAAATTTTCTTGTCATAACAAAACTCGCTATATTTATAGCGAGTATCGCGGCAAAAGTTGCCTTATCCAAGCGTCCAATAGCAATAACGATTCACGATCACGTGAGCTAGGGTTCTGATACGCGGCCATTTTTAATTTAAATTTTTTAATAGTTTGTTTTATTAATAAGTTATTAAGCGTGTTTTTGGTGTTGTGTACATACAAATTATGTCTAATATGAGTCAAGATGTTATTTTACCCTCAAAAAAAGGGAAAGGAAGAAAAAAAATAGCCGATAAATCAAAATGGAAAAGAGAAATCAGTAAGCGTGAAAGGTAAGCTCTTTTTTCTTAAGAATTTACTAAGCTTGTACAAAAAGTACTCGATCTGTCCGTTTCATAATTTTTCGGCGACATGTTAACAAGGGAAGTTAATTTTTTCGAATAGTAAATTAAATTCTATGATACACAGCAGAATAATTTAACTTTATTTCCTTCAGATATTCCTCTCCTAATCTGCCATGTTTCCCAATATGCAAGCACAATGGCAAAACCTTCCACTGCAAAAAATTAACAGGATTGGATATTTACAATTTTCATCGGAATTTTTATTTGCATAAAAATAAAGTTGAGCAGGATGCATTTATTTTAAAATACTGTAGCCACGACAAACCAAAAAGACAAAACCGAAATTTAAAAGAAGGAAGCAGTCGAAAAAGTGTGGCAATAAAATACTTTGTGAAAAAATGTCGCTATGAAAAATATAAAATTCAAGTGTGCCAACAAACGTTTCTTCAGATTCTTCACGTTTCCAAAGATCGTGTACAAAGAATTTGCAGAAACCATTTAAACACAGGACTAATGCCAAAAGAAAACCGAGGGGGCGACCGGATTAGTACAAAATTTGTTGAGAAACGAATTGCGGTAAAAAGATTTATTGAAAATTTAAAATGTGTAGAAAGCCACTATTGTAGATCAAAAACAGATAGTAGACAATATTTGCCTAGCGGATTAAGCATCTCAAAACTTTGGCGCACTTATAACAGCAATGTTAATTCTGAACATCATGTAAAAAGAACATTTTTTCAAAAAATTTTTACTAATGATTACAATATTGGCTTTGGAACTCCGGTAACTGATGCATGTTCCAAATGCATCGAACTGTCGGAGAGAATAAAACAGGAAATGCGTCCTAATGAAAAAAACAAATTAATTATAGAAAAAAGAGTTCATAAATTAAAAGCAACGGCGTTTTTCAAAAAACTACAAGAAAAGAAAAATGAATTAATTACATTTTCATTTGATTGCCAAAAAAATTTGGTTATACCAAAAATACCAGATCAAATTGCCTACTTCAGCCGGCAGCTATACATCTATAATTTTACCATTGTAAGAGGTTCTTCAAAAAGTCACATGAACCCAGAAAACGTATTTATTTATACGTGGATGGAGCATGAATATAAAAAAAGTTCCAATGAGATATCATCAGCTGTGTTTCATTGCCTATCACAAGTCGATCTTTCACCATATTCAAATATACGTCTATGCGCTGATGGTTGTGGAGGACAAAATCGGAATTCTACAATGATAGGAATGTGTTCTTATTTTTTGGCAAATGTGGCACCTCCGAATGTTAAAACAATAGAATTGATTTTTCCAGTGCCTGGACATTCATATCTCCCATCTGATAGGATATTCGGTCGCATTGAAAAAATTTTAAAGAAAGAATCAACTATTATAGATCCAAAAATTTATAGAAATATTTTTGAGGAGCATGGAACTGTTGTGCAGCTGGGCAAGGATTGTGAAGTAAAAGATTGGAAGTTGAGCGTTAAAGAATTTTTGAAACCTGTTCAAGCGTGGCACTTTAAGTTTTCGCAAGCAAAAAGATTTATTTTATCGAAAAGTCAAAGAAATTTAATTCTTGTTAGTGGAGAGGTTTATTACAATTCTGACACTGGGACTGCAAAGTCATTATTAAAAAGAGGGAAAACATTCAGTTATTTCTCACCAAATCAAATTGAAATGAGAGTTGATTTGAATCAAAAAAAGGTCGGTAACGTCAGGGAGCTTTTAAGAAAACATTTTGGTGATAGGTGGATGGAAAGACAAGACTTGAGTTTTTTATACCTTTAGTAGTTGATTTAGATAGACCTGTTTCATGATAGCATGTTTTTGTGAACGGAGACCACAAGAGGTTGATAACCTGTTAAGAATTTAAAATATTTGATAATTATTATTTTCAATTTAGTGTTCATTATTCAAAATTGTTCAATAAAATAAATAATAAATAAATTTTTTTAAGAAAACCGTCTGTTGATTGAATATTGTGGTATAACAAAACTTGCTATTCATTCATAACACAGCAAAATTTGCCTTATTTAAATAAAATTACTGTTTCTTTTTCAAACTGGATAAAAACCAATTATAGAGAACCGATTGTTGATAACATTTCATAACGTAATAGCTATATTTATTTGGGTTTTATATTTGTTTTCCTAAAATTTATTGCTCAAAACTTAAAATTTTGATTTTCTCAAATTTACTTCAACTGGATAAGGCGAGTTTTGCTACTACACGCCTCAAATGTACTATTATAAATTTGCATTTAAACATGACGTAAAAAACTTTTACGTCCTGTTGACAAAAAACTATCGTTTTGACGGTCGCTAAGTACTACGCAAAAATCAACTTTTAATAGCAGTTTTCGAAAAAATTATTTTTAATATTTATTTCGTGTTTAGCGTATCAAAATACGTAAAATAAGACTATAAACGAATTTTGGCCAACTTCTGATATCAAATACCCCACTGTACGCCGCCCCGACCCCGGGGGGTTAGAGACGGAGGGCGACTCAACGTACTTTCACCGGGGTTTGAACTCGGCACGTCTGAACCATTACGCCCCCAAAAAAAAAAATCCGCATATCGATGATGCTGTAATTGATTTTGTCAAAGAAAACGTGCAAAAGGACTACCAGTAATAAGGCAGATGATGCATTTAAAGGTGTTTCGTGATCACATACAAGAGAACTACCCGTTCTCTGAGTAATCGTCCAGTAATTGTGGTTTTCTATTTAGTTTTATTCTTAAATCAGTTGAACACAATAATCAATCGAATTATTTGACAAAACTAATATTTAAACGCTGCTATTAAATTGAGTGACACGGGCAATTGCCGTGAAGTATCCGTATTGATAGGAGCAGATGTTGGGAAACTACTTACCGGTAAGAAACTGCAGTTGAAATGTGGACTCGTAGCGTTGGAGACATTACTCGGGTGGACACTTATGGGAAAAATAAAAACTTAAACGTCCCAAATCATCAACAAAAGGGCTTAGAAATTGCCAAGGTCGTCGGTGGGAAATTTAAAGGAAGCGAAGGTTGGTCTGGAACAGCTTTATTCAAACTAGGTTCCGCGGAACCTTCGCGCTGTAAATGTTACGTCACAATCGCTGGAGTCAGCTGATCACTGTCTCACGTTTGCAAGTTGTTGTAAATGCATTTAAGTTTAAGTTAAAATAGATGGTATAGATGGCGTTGTAGAATGTCGATAACGTAGAGTAAAAAGAATAAAAAAGATGGTAGTAGATTGGGTAGATTGTCAGTTGTAGGAAACGTTAGGGTTTTGTTTAAGAAAACAAGTTGTTATTTTATTATACTAATATTGACTAATATACTGAAACTAAAGTGTTATTCTGGATTTATTTCACGCCCTCTTCCACTAAAACAACA